CATCTCTGTAGGATCAAATGAGTTTTCCAGTGGTGGGGAAGTGTTTTCTCCATATGCACATTTAGATTAAAATGCTGTGCATGACGCAAAAGGGTTCAACGTGATTTGAGGTTTCAAGACTTCAGACAGCTTGGTGCTGTGGCAATAACCACAATAAAAAAATCCTTATGGCTTTTGTTAAAGAGAAGGGGAAACAGCTCAAATAACAAAAAAGAAGTAAGCATTATAAAAACCCTCCTGTCCTCTCTGGGAGAAAAATATACCACAGATGACATTGCCAGCAGTTAAGATCTGTTATTGCAGATGGTGGATCTGGAGTGTAGCCTTGCTGTAATTTTATATGCAAACTTATTTCTTCAAAGTGAAAACTCGTATTGAATAGGGAGAAAACTCCACCTTCCATGTCATGTCTGGCCTATGCCTGGCACAGACAGACACTTTGGGAAGTGGGAAAAGCACAGCAGCATCAGGCTGGATGACAATTAGCTGTATTTGCCATAACTTGTAGCCATACAGCCAGGGCAATTGCTTTGGCTAGTAACCACAGGTGCATTTTAAACTTGAAGACAAGGGAGAGAAGCTAGACTGGGCTTTGTAAAGGATGTGTGAGAGCAGATAAGTCTACTACATTCCAAGAGATGTGTGTTGGAATGAGACTAAAAGTGGTAGATGTGGTAATATTGTCCAGGCCTTCTCTCTGCCTACACTGGTCACACCTTTTTCTGGCAAAATGGGAAGTAAAAGCCTACAAATGAGAACCAGGAGACTGTGGGAGTGCTGGCATCACTGATCATTTTTTCCAGTTTCATCTTCCTCTTGGTGTAAGTGTCAAACTATACTTCTCTTTGAGGGCCTGACTGTGTGAAGGACTCCAGGAAGGATGTATGAGCAGAAAAAGCCATTTCAAAAAATGATCAACAGATTGTCCTAAACTGTTTTGTTGGAAACCAGGGCCATTCATTTCTTGACCCTTACCATTTTTTTACTGCACAGATAAAAAGAAAAAAATACAAGAAATAAAATAAAAAAGAGGAGGGGGGGGAGAGGGTTTAAATATATATGTATACACTTTTTTAATTTTTAACTTTCACCGATCAAAAATTTTGCCCAGTAAAATAAGTTGGGCTTTTATTACTCTGAGTAATTTAAGAGATGGGGCCTTCTGTTCCCTTCCTTAATGAACCAAAACCACTTAACATGTGAACTTGTGTCCTAAATTACATTTACAGAAGGAAAAATTGAAGGAAACTAGGAGACACTTATGAATGTTATTTAAGGTTTGCAGGCTTTCTAGACCCTCCCCCAGCCTTTTTAGGTAGGTGTTACCATAGATCCCCTTGCAACTTTCTGCCCTGAGGGATCTTAACTTTTTTTTGTGGCTCTGGATGGCTGCTATGTACAGCAAAGTACCAGTTCTGACCAGCCTTAGGCTGAGAACAGTGGAAAAAGAGAAAATTAATCCTTTTCCTTTTTTTTTTTTTCTTTTTATTATCACCCAAATGAAATTTGGCTATATTCCCTCAGTGAGAAGTTATTTTACTCCTTTCAGAATTTTTCAGCCCAGTATGACATACCTAAAGCCCCCAGAAAGTAGCAGCACATTTATGATTTTTTGGAATAAATTCTCCTTTCCCTTGCCCACTCTCAGTTCAGCAAAGCCATGTGTGTTAGCGGGGAAAAAAACCCTTTTCTGTTGCAGACTTGTTAACAATATTTATAAAGAGTACAAGGTCATTGTGACACCGGGCAAGCACATGGATCTAACTAGATTACAGCACAGTCTCACAGAAAGCAAAGAAAAAATGTAGAAAATCATAAAAAACAAAAGAAAAGTCTTCTGAGAAAAGTATGGTGCTTTAGGAGAGGCGAATTCAAGTTCAATTTATGGTTAAAGAATTAACATGCTGAATGAAGTGGTTAAAAGGGGAACAGAGAGGTAATGTTGCAACGTGGGAATGTTTTAGTTAAGTTTGCTTCTTATCCTTCAAACTGCATTATTTTTCCAGGTTTTTACTCTTAAAACGTCTTTTGATTAAGCCATTAGTATCAATAGAGATCACAACAACCCTACAAATGTTTAAACAAAGCAGGACATTTGTTTGAGGCTTAAAAAAAAAAAAGGAGAAATATTATGAAACAGTACTATCACAGACTTTATCTTAAAACAACTGTATTAACAATCTTTGAATACTTAACCAAAACCATACTCAACATTGTCAGATAACAGTGAGTATTTGGGCTGGGTCTGGAACAAAACAGTACCAAACCAACCAGGCTTGGTTTGATGCCAAGCCACATCTGTGCCAGATGTTTTGTGGGGGACATAAGCCGCTCCCTCAGAGGTGCTGCTGCTCTGAAACCACCGGGAGAGAGTGAGGCCCTGAGGGTCCCCCTCCTGCCCCCAGGGGTGACACCACCCTTCTCCCCAGCTGCTGCCCAGAGGGACTTTGTAGTGCAAGTGACTAAACTGGTTTATTATGGCCTCTGGGCACCTTGTAGGAAAGATCGAAGACACCTTCAGAAGCAGCTGAAATCAATGAGATCAAGTGTGAAGTGCTCAGCCAGTGAAACTCCCAACAGCTACACAGAGCCCCACTGCCACCCACACCAGCACCCACACAGTGTTTTCAGCCAGGACTTCAGGTTCAATAATCCTAAAAGAGATGTTGATACCTCCCAGGTCTGCTACCTTGGTTTTATATCCTAACTGCAGCTAAGGCCATGAAAATTTGAATACCAATATATGGTAACAGGCCAGGCATGAGTAAGGAGAGCATAACATCCTCCTTGACTGGTGCCACTGGAGCTGCCCAGCGGGGTCCCAAGCTCCTACAGCTCATGTAACTGGTGCTTAATTAGCTAGGGCTTGAGGGCAGATATGAGGGACAGTGATCCCAGCTCTTGTGGCACTGCAGCTCTGAAATGTAGAATGATTCAGAAGAGAGACATGAGCCAGAGCAAATTGTAGAGGCTGCTGCAGCATGATTGACATATTCAGGATGCTCTTGTGTTTCTATTGAGTCAGATGTGCTCAAAAGCACTTTTTTTGCTTTAAGTTTTTTCAAGTAAATTTAACATCAAAACGTACTGTTCTTGTACAGAGATATGTCAAGCCCTGCACTTTGTAAAGTAAAGAATGTTTCATGCAAACAGAAAACATAAAACTCAGTGCCAAGTTAAAGAGACTTCAGCCAGGTCCCTAGCTCCCTCCAGTCTGCACCTCATGGGAAAGTGTCTCTATAGACAGGGAAGCCAGGACTAGTGACTTGCCATGGGGCACAGAGCAGCAGCACAAGTCTTGGTAGAAGTGGTATTCTATGTCCTTTTAAACTGATCTAAATTCTACTTTCTATTTCTGTTGCTTTCCCCACCTGCCTGTATCTTCTCCCTGCTGATACTTGAACACTGATAGCAAGCAGGTGCCCCTCTCTGTCCTCCTGGCAGGACTGGGATGCTTGAGATGAGCACAGGCTTGGGATGAAAGCAGCAACAAGCATTTGTGAAGTAATGAGGTACAGAGGGGTGAAAGGACTGTCCATCTGAAATAATTTTACACTTTTGTGGATCAGCACCTTCAGCTCTGAGCTTCTGACAGGAGGCACGCACGTGTCCTGGTGCCAAAGCAGGGCTGCATCTAACAAGTATTTTAATTAACTCTGGGTCTCCTATCTCTCTATTGAGAAATGGACATTAGTGACAGACTGACAATGTCTTTTGAAATTGAACCAATAAAATTTACCTAAATACTGGTAGAGCAAAACCTGCTGATGAGAGGGGACTGAAACAAGCCCAATCTGCAAGCTGACAGCTCAATTCTGTAGGTCACTCACTTACCTTTAGTTATTTAATGAACAGCTCTGCAGGTGCCTGTCCCCCTTGGGTAGGCCATATGTCAGGAAACATCAGCTAACCCTGTCTTAAAGGAAACTCTTAATCTCCTTTACTCCAGCTAACATGCAGCAGCCGAACAAAGGCCACATCCAAAGCTACACAAATAAAAGGATGTGCTTTTGAAAGGCCATGGGCAAGCAAATCTATAGCTGTGGACCTTACATACTAGATCTTCTCCTAGCTCCACAATGAAAATGCCTCTGCTGGTTGTCCCCCTGGAGACCAGCCAGCTGAGATTTCTGAGCCTGCTCTGCAAAGTGAGATCTGGTGCTGGATCTGCTTGCCCAGTGTTTCCAAGTTTGCTCTGGCACAAGCTTGTTGAAGATGGGCCAAACACATTTTCAGCTGGCTCCCTCGAAGGCCTGTGTGAAGGAAATTCCTTCTCAGTTTAAAAAAAAAGAAAAGAAAAAAAAAAAAAAAAAAAAAAAGAAAAGAAAAAGTATGTTCTATCCCCAGCTCTAATTCTTACTCATTTCCCCCCTCTCCCATCTCCGACATCTCCGCCAAGAGTATGGGAAGTGCTGCCAGGTCAGTGGCAGTAGGGGGTGTCTGTGGTCTTGGGGAGGTGTCAAAATGACACAAGCCACAAAGTAAAGGTCTCAGAACCCTCCCCACAACCCCGGGGCAGGGTGTGGGTTTGGCCGGCACGGTACGGAGCAGCTCGGCACCAGGTTTCGCTGCTGTGCTAAGTCTGTCTCCCCCGTGGTGGAGGGCGGCCGGGATGCGTTCTCCCAAGGCAGGGAACAGCTGTCCCGTACGGGACATCCGCGCTCACGGGATCCTGAGCCCAGCACAGCCCACAGAAGCAAACGGGAGGAGTTGTCCTGGGGCTCTGGGTCAGACCTTGCTCAGGTGCGACCGAGGAACCTGCAGAACGGGAAGAATTCAGAGGGGACATATTTCAGCTCTGATGCCATTCCAATGCTGCTTTCCCTCCCCCCCGCTCCGTCCCCACCCCACCGATCAGGCTCTTTAACATGACAAAGAGCCCGGAGGAGCGGGCCGCGGTGAATATTGCGGTCCCGGGCAGGGAATGGCCGGCTATAAAGGCCTGTGTCCGCCCGGGGGTGAGCCGTGTCCCCGCGGTGGAGGTGCCATCGGGCGCTGCCATGTGCGCGCAGCTGGCGCTGCCGCCGTGCCCCGCGTACCCCGGCGGCGCTGCCCGGCGCTGCCCGGAGCCCCGCTGGGGCGCGGCGGGGCCGGCGGCGCCCGCGGCGGCCAGGCTCTCTCCGGAGGCGGCGGGGAGCGGGCACACCGCAGGTAAGGCCTTGCAGCCAAGCCCTGGAGCTGACCCCCGGGATAGCTCCGCTCCCAGGTCAGGCTCCAACGACTTTTGGCGGATTTTTCCCTTCCCCTGCCTTGGTTTCCTAGTGTGTGCCCTTGTGGTGGGCAAGGAGGAGGGGTGACCTTGGCCAGTCACATCACTTTGCCATGCTACTTTTCTTGGGTGACTGCCAAGCTGTTTCCTAAACCTCAAAAGAGTATGCAAGAGGCGAGGCACTGTCTGGTGTGTGCTCCAGGCTGAAGGGGAAGAGTGACAACTTGGTCTTGTGGAAGTTCGTGGTTCTTGGTGCAGGAATGTCTGGGCCTCCTCTTAGTTAAATGTTGTCATGTGTGCCATCGAGAGAAACAGATCCTGGAGATACTTCTTGTGGTATCCCTTACAAACTCCTTGCACCTTTTATGTGCTTGTTAATCATGAGCCAAGGCCTGGGTGCTGGGAGATCTGCTCCTTTGAATCGAGCATTGTTACTCACACTGATTCTTTCATTTTGCCATTTTCCTCTACTTCCCTCTTCTTTGCGTGCTTTTGTTGCTTTGCCTTTCCCTTTTTAACCAAAAAGCCCCAGGCCTCACCACAGTGACATTTTCTGTTCCTGTCATTCCTCTGGCACTCCAGTGAGGGGCAATAGAAGAGCTAAAAAGAGCGGCTTTTCTCCCAGCCTCGCATTGTGGTCAGCAGGGCAACACCCTAGCAAGGTAAATGGGTGGAAGGAGAGCCAGGTTTTGGGGTGCCACTTTCAAGCTGTCATTTGCTATGGAAAGCTCCAGGCTCAGGCAGAGTGGCTATGGTTACTCCCATGTGGCTACCTGCCATGTAGGTTCTCTGCGTGTGCCTGCCTGACAAAGGCAGCGGGCGGATGGACTCCTGTGTGCCCCGGTGGGGTTGGTGTATGGACTGTAACCCCACCTTCAAACACTCTCCCCTCATACCTCTCTCAGAGAGAGCCCCGTTGTGGAAGTCGAGGCCTACAGATGTCAGGACCTGGTGGGAGTGGGTCTGTCACAGGCTTTCATGTTCATGTCTGTTGCACTGTTGTGTTTCTCGCTTCCTGTCTCCTTTACTCTCTTCTCATGGGAGAGGGAGCAATTCTGCCCTGATACTTTTCATCGGGGTTTGGGATGACAGCTCAAGCAGCAGCCTGAGGGAGCTTTAGTTCTATAGTGTCTCACTGTGCTTCCTGTCTAACAGGGAGACTCTCCTGTTTTCCAGGCCCATGTTCATTTTCTCCCTATAAAGTTTTTACTTCACAGCCTGTAGGAGCCAACCATCCTGTGATACCATACGAAGTTTTAGCTTGCCATGCAGCCAGGTCACTGATGTTCAGCTTCCTGAAGGCTCTGCAGTCTACCCCCAAGCACATAACACCACAGGCCCTTGCACCTCTTCTGCTGACAGCCTCTTTCTGCTTGCAGACAGAATCCCTTTGCAATCCTCATGGCCTCACTCCCCAGCGCTGGAAACCTGCCCCACTACACCCGTGGCTGTTCACCCAGCCCCTGCTGTGGGTGGTGTCATCTCCTAGGGGGATAGCAAATGGCCCAGAGCAGGCAAGCCTTGAGTGGCAGGCACCACAGAGACAGGAATGCCTCTAAGGAGAATAAGAAGGGGAACACTACCACAGAAGTGACCTCCTTTCTGAGGTCCAACAGGACTCCCAAGGCTTTTGAGTGATTGCTTAGTCGGATCTCAGCTTAGGACAGAAGAAGGAAAGGTTTTGTAGGATGGGTGGGAAGCCCATTTGTCCAGGGTACATCAGTACTTTGCTGTGGACATATGTTCTGGTGACTGGGGTGGGTGTCTCAGTGTCACAGCTCTCAAGGTGACTGGTAAGGAGGTTGGGAGACATTGGTTGGGCTCAGTAGACAGAAGTGTACTGAAATGGCACTGCCCCATTCACTGCACTTACAGTAGTAGGAGAGGGGATGGACCATGCAGGATAGTTTACAGAGGAGTAGCTGGAGGAGGGAGGGATGGACAGATTCATCATTGTACTTAGGGGAAAGAGGAGTGACTGGTATCACAACCCTCCAGTCAGGTTGGCCTCTCTCAGACTCCAGTAATGTGGCATGTGACACATTTTCTTATTCCTGCAGCCTGAATGACTTTGCAGCTTAGCAGGTTTTGTCTTCACTAGGAGCCTATATCCCTGGTACAGGACTGCTGCCTCCTTTCACCTATTTCACACATCCACCCCTCCCCCCCCCCTCCTCCGCGGGAAAAAACTCCTCTTCATCATTATCCCACCAAAAAAAGCCCCCAAAAAAGACCTCCCACCTACAGTGTCTCCAGCAGTGGCATGGCCTGTGGTGGGAGACAAAGGCAAACAGGACTGATCCAATATCCAGTGCCTGATGTTCTCCACCTGCTGCCCTCACTGTGAGCACTGGCTGCTCTGCCCCACCACACACCGTGGTCAGAGGGTTTTTTTGTCTCTATTGAGTGCCTTGGTATTGCTGGGCAGGCAATTCTGGGGAACCCAGCCAGCAACCCAGAGCTATGCTTGCTGTCATGACAAGGCCTTTTTACACCACAATCAGACTGAAATATTACTGAGGCCATCTGGAGGGGGAGAGCTCACTGTGAACCAATGTGCATCAAACTCTAGCACCACTCCCTGCCCTGACTTTTCTGCCTGGCAAAAGGGAGTCATGAACATCCCAGAGAGGACTGAGCTGGGAAGCTGCTCGCTCTCACTGCACTTGTCTGTGCTCACATATCCATGAAGAAAGGAGGGTCACATGAGCCTTTGCTTCAAGAAAGCTCCTATCTGGTAGGCAAGGAGCTCTAGAGCAGGCAGGAAGCATGCTCATACCCTTACAGCTAAACATTTTGTCTCTTACACCTTTTCTCATTTTCTTTTTATTTATAGAAGTATCCCCAGCTTCATCCAGTTCTGGGAATTTCAGCCAATTCACACCAGATTCAGCCACCAGTCCACATTCCTCATCCACGTCCCCACAGCCTACAGCTAAGTCTCAGAAGGGCAGAGAATATGGCGTGGAGGGGATCAGGAAGACCAAGAGCCGGACAGCTTTCTCCAAGGAGCAGCTGCTAACCCTGCACCAGCGCTTCCAGAGCCAGAAGTACCTCAGCCCCCAGCAGATCCGGGAGCTGGCTGTTGCCCTGGGGCTCACCTACAAGCAGGTGAACACAGAAACTTTGACCCACAGTGTATCAATCTCACAGTGGCTGAGTGGCCACTTAAGGGAGTGCCAGGATGGAAAGATGAGTGCCCAGCAGGGACTGAAGCCAAGGTGCCAGTAACAGTTGCACCCCTGCTTATTCATGCCCAGAGATCAGAAGCACTTTTGCAGATAGAGGGGTCAGTGGCACCTCATTTGGGCCTCCCAAGTCGGGGGTCAGTTAAGGGTTCTGTTGCCAACACCAGTAGTAGAATTGCAAACCCAGTGATGAATATGTTGTTCACCACAGTCTCTACCCTGGGCTTGACAGTACTTCACAGATTGTTTCATGTGCTGTGAACTTCTCAGAAACCCTGGCATGCATCTGTTCTCTGAATCAGGGGCTGCTGCGACATGCTGCAAGCTCTTGCTAGTGTCTCCTGGCTCTTATCTTGTCCAGTATCTCAAAATGCTCCACGCTCAGCGCTGCTTGGCTGCTTGACACGTGTTCCCTCCTCCCCGTGGGGGCTGCTAGGTTCACACATCACTGCCCTTTAGGGTCTCTGCTGATCTCCAGGTAGGCTGCAGTGTAGTGAAATTATGCTGCCTCCAATGATGCCTTCCTAAAGTAGGGGGGGCTGGGCAATGGGGCACAAGAGCTCGCAGCTATATGTCCAAAATCTTCCTGAAATTTGAATCTCAGAGCTGGGCATGATGGCCAGGATGCCCTGGGACTAAAAAGGTTATACTGCACTGTAAATGCACACATACAGCACGCACTAAACTGGTTCTGTCAGGAACAAGGCAGGTGTGACTGTCTGCTCTTTCCTTCAATCCACATCCCTGCAAAGGCTGCTTTCACAGTGCAGACACAGCCCGGGGGGAAATAGCCCTGGAATTCGCCCCAGCAAGGAGCTTTGAATTTGGGAACTGCTGGGGACAAGGAGCAGGTCTGTCCCTTCTCTGTTCGCAAATATGCAGAAACAGTGTCTTAGAAGTTTGACTGTAGTGCAGGGTGCTTGTAGAGGTGCTGGTGGATCTGATTTACACCAGTCATTCACCTCCATGTTTGGAATGAGTCGATTCATCCCAACTATCACTGTCTCTTGACATCGAGCCACCCCCTCCCCCATCACACAGTTGCACTAGCCACCTGCTGAGGCTGCTAGACAGACCTCTCCCCTTGGCAGCACCCCCCAGGAGTTCTGAAAGGCTTTTATCTGCTGCTGCCCATGTATCTCTGCCGGCTGGTCACTTCCTCTGGTTATTCCTGCTTGTGAATTTGGTTACATTTGTTCTTCCCTCTCCTTTGCTGACATTTTCTCTGCTTTCCCTTCCCCTCCCAGGTGAAGACTTGGTTCCAGAACCGGAGGATGAAGCTGAAAAGGTGCCAGAAGCAGAGCCTGTGGAGCGAACGGGCTCAGTGTCTCACACAAGTAAGAACACAGCACATGGCTCAGCATGGCTCTTCTGTCACGTATTTCCTCCATGGGGGCAACTTAAGCATACGAATGTGAGTGTACCTGGCCTTCTGATTTGCTCAGCACAGAGGCACAGACTTGACACCACACCATGTGTACTGGTGGTAGTCCAGCAGTGGGCTGGCTATACCACAGAAATGTTTCCAGGGAAAAGCTGTTTTCCTCTTATGTATGTATGAATATATATATATATATGTATATATTATTGTGTATCCACTCCTGAGCTATGGGAACATAGTTCTTCTTGCCCTCCATGCCATTGCTGCTGGTCAGTAGACAATATGAAATGTGAAGGGACAGAACCCCAGTACATGTCAGGCCTGTGGACACCAGTGGAGAAGCTATGTGTTCTGACTCTCCACTTTTCCCTTTCAGAGTGGCTTCCAGAGCAGTACCTACCTGGATGTGCACCCCAAATTCCACCAGGGCTACCCCATCACCACAGCTGGCAACATCCAAACCGTGCCTGCTCCCTGTCAGCACTATGGAGCAGGGCAGAACGCATACACAATCGTGACCAGCGAGGATGGAGGAGTCTTTGGCAAAGGCGGGGGGACCTGCAGTGTCCAGCAGACAGTGGGCTTCATTGCCCAGCACAAAGTAGACTTTTACCACAGCTATCCTGGCAGTGTGGAATATCCAGGCTCAAAGACAGGTGATGGCTGTAATTTTCACCACTCAGCCACTATGGGGGCTCCTTTCCCAACTGCTGCCAGCCATCATCTTTATCATTCCTAAGCACTGTGGATGTGGGGTACTTGGGCAGCCAGGAATCAAATCTTATTCTCATCTCTCCCTTTGTTATTGGTGTGCTGGCCACCTCAGGGACACCTCGTAGCTAAAACCTGTTTTGGCATCCAGATGTGTGCCTGCAGACATGCAGCTGTGCAGAGACCCATTTGCCCAGGTACATGCACACAGAGCCCTTCATTTCTGTGCTGTACATGTGCACACACACATTCCTTTCTTGATTGGCACAGACCACCAAGCTCCCTGACAGCAAAGCCCAAGATCTGGCTACCCAGTTTATGCCCTGGATCTTCTTAATTATGGATCTTGTAACTTGTCTAAGGGGACGCACAGATTCCTTTGGGAATCTCCATGTATCACTGTACAGTTGTGTGTACATAATACATGAAAGCCAGGGGCTGTGTGGAGAGGTGCTAGTCACGTACCTTTAACTGAAGTTGGAGAAGTTACTGCCACGTGCCAGTTATTCATTTGAAGTGTAAACCATCAGTTCTGTATATCAGCCATGAGGTGAAGTGATGAAGTGTCTAATGAAGGGAGTTGTGACAAGTAGCTTGCAGAAAGGCTGGTAAGAGGATCTTATAAGCTCTTACTTCTAGTCTGTATCTTTCTGTGTCTCCCCCTGAGAAAACCTAACAGTGCATACAATCTGGCAAATAAAAGAGTAGTTTTTAAGATGCATTATGTATTTTTATATATCGCTTTTTTCCCACTGCAATAGAGCATGGCAATATAAAAACCAGATGGAACATAAATAGCCATAGCAACCATATTCCATTGTTATTTGATGCTGAAACTATAAACAGAATTTTTTCTGTATTAGTGGATCAGCTTCATGGCTCTTGGCAATGCCAGATAAGTCAAAAAAACAGGTGAGTAACTATCATCCACCTTAACAATTTTCCATATCCAGCAGTATTAAATATGGGGACTGTCATGGAGGTACTATCATTTCTGAACTTGATTATGTAAGCATCTAAGTACCTAAAACCAGAGGTGTGTAGCAAAATACATGTAATAACAGGCCTCCAGTTCCCTGAGTCAGTTTTCCTATCACTCTTTGATGATGACAGCGAATTCCTCTTAATGCAATGAAGTAGCTGGCATGGTTTTAAAAAAGGGCATAAAATGAAGGCAGTGATTTCTGTGACTAGAGTAATAAGAGGCATGGTCTTCTGTTGACAAAGCTGATTTATGTTCCTGTGCCTCACAGCTGTTTGTTCCCTCTCCCACTCATGCAGACACTCTTTGACTCTACTGTAAACTGTATGGTGTGCTGACTTTGGCTGTGTTGGTTTAATTTTCTTCACAGTATCTAGGATGAGGCTGTGTTTTGGATTTGTGCTGAGAATGGAGTTGATAATACAGAGATGTTTTCATTACTGCTGAGCAGGGCTTGCACACTGTCAAGGCCTTTTCTGCTTCTCATTATCTCCCTGACAGCGAGAAGCCTGGGGGTGTACAAGGAATTAGGAGGGGACACAGCTGGGATGACTGCCCCTGACCGACCAAGTGGATATTCCCTATCATATGGGATTGGGCTCAGTGTAGAAAACTGGGGGGAGGAAGAAGGGGACATTCAGAGTGGTGGCCTTTGTCTTTCTAAGGAATCATTACACAGGATGGGACTCTGTTGTCCTGGAGGCTGCCAGCCTATAGGAAGGGGTGAATTAATTCATTGTTTTGCTTTGTTTGTGTGTGTGGCTTTTGCTTTACCTATTAAATTGTTTTTATCTCAATCCACGAGTTTTCTCACCTTTAGTATTCTGATTCTCTCCCCCATCCCAGTGGTGGGGAGTGATCAAGTCGGCCAGCATGATCTGGGGAAAGATAAGGCCTTTTGGATGGTGAGTCATACAAACTTGGCACAGCCCCCACCTTCTCTTGCAACCATCAAGTGGCTAAGGATGGGCAAGACTGTTCTTGAAACCATCGGCGGGGTGGGGAACCATTAAGTCGACTGAAAAGGTGCTGGCTAACATCGGAGGGTGGACAATAGCGGCAGTTATCAGGGCTCTCACACCAGAATGAAGATATTTTTCAGTTCTTCTCAAGCCAACGGTTCTGTTTACTTACCTGAATATAAACTAAAACCTTTCCATGCCAACCCATCAAAGGCTGCTGTAGGTGAATAAAGCTGAGCTTGCAGCATAGTCCTCACTAATAATGCTCCGGAAAAGGAGTCACATGTCATGCCCTGCTCCTTCAGAGATGCTTTAGGACAGGCAGGATTTTGCTGTGGAGGCTCTGGGACTGGCTTGCAGAATGCTTCCGTCTGTAAGAGCATCAGCTGTGATCTCCCTGCTACTGGAGATCAAGGTATTCAGCAAGGTAGTGCTAACAAACACTACCAAATCTTGTGGTTTCCTCAGAGGCACAATTTTTCAGAGGTTATCATCCAAAGACAGACCTTATTGCCACAGGTGGTTAGGTGTCTAAAAACCTGCAGCAATTCCAAACAGGCAAGTAAGGAGCTTTCAGGAAGGGAGATCATTGATGTCTGCTGTATCAAGAGCTGCATGGTCAATGTCCTATGTAAAAACAGCAGGAATGCAGCTACTGTTAAGAGGGTGTCCCTCAGCCCCAGGCAGCCAGAGGGACACGGGAGATTTAGTTTTTTTTCTGGTCTTTCTCTAGTATCTAAGCGATTACTTAGCTGGATCTTGGGGCTCCCCCAAAGCAGAAGTCCAAGTGTTGTAATTTGTAAAAGATTTAATGGTCTGGACACTCTCCAGCTGCTAGACAGCAGATGGACTTCTGTCAAGTATGAGAAATTAATTCTAGCCTGGTTATGAAAGATTCTCAGATATGACCCGAGGGTACTCTTCAAGTTTGGATAGCATGAAGAGTACATGGCCCTCACAGGTAGGAAAAGACTTAGGATTGTGGTTTCTTGGTTTTTTTGTTGGGATTTTTAAGTTTATATTTTTTCCCTTTTATTTTAATGTCCAAGTGCAATGATTTAGAGTCATTCATGCCTCATGACTATTCAGTATCAGCCAATATGCTGCTGCCCTCTGACGTCAGGCCAGGCCAGGCAAGAGACTGTAGCAATGCTTGACTGAAAATTTCTGAAACCCTGTTAGCTCAGCCCTCGAGTCATGTGGTGTAGTTAGATTGCTAAATATGCTTACATATGCCTGTAGGGAAGAGCCTATTAAAGCAAAGATCATTACTTTTAACTGCACTAGAGAGACAATTGGGGCTGTGAGCCCTTGCTCATGGATCACTCAGAAGAAACATGTAGCTTGTAAAACCCCTGCAGGCCACATTGACATGGAGAGCGAGCAATGAGGTTTCCACTGCTCTTGGTATTTTCCCTGTGGGACAGCTGGAACCCAGTAGATTACAGAATAAAATCCTGGTCTACATAATCTGTACCATACTCAATTTCTTCTGTTTAGGTGGTAGTCTCTGCAGCACCAGAACTACATCTGCAGCTTTTTTGTCACTGTAGATATTGTAAATGAGGAGTCTATTTGCACAAGCTGTAACGCATATGAAGAGCTCCAAATCATCTTACAGCTTGATCCTAAAAAGATTTGCTGGCAAGGCAAATCATATTTGCAGTGTGCAGAAGTTACTGGTACACAGCAGTTACAGGAGGCAGCAGTGTTAACAGAGGTGTAATGCATTCTAGCAGAAAGCTTTTGCTAGCATACACTTTCTCTCTCTAAGGAACTAATACCAACACTTCTGCAAGTATGAGGCTGCAGGCATCTGCATCTCCACCGGTTTTGGTAGTAGTGCCCAATTACCTGTGCAGTTTTTCCACATGGGAATGTGATTCAGGCATGTGAAGGTAACAGAAGAGATCACCAGTTCTGTGGAAAGACAGAGTCCTGTTTTTTAATTCCACAGGCTCTAGAAACACTTCCTGAGCAACTATGAGTTCTTTCCAACCCACCTTCCAAAACTCAAACATCTACTCCATGTGCTCCCCCTCCAGCTACACGTGCTTGCCAAACCTGCACACAACCCAGCCTTGAACAACCAGGGGAATAACACAGCCATAAGGGAAAAGTCAATTTCCACTGAACATTCTCATAGTACATGGAGTAACAAACCACACCATGCAGAGCAATCGTTCTGAGCCCCAGGGCTGTTGCAGCAAGAATATCTGTTTTTGCAGAAGGACATCTGCCTGCAGAGCTCCAGCGATTTCCTTACCCTTGCAGCAGGCACGTGGAAGCAAAACATATGAAGCAACACAGGTAAACTGCAGCAGGCATCCTCTGCAATTGCTCTGCAAAGATCTGCATATTACTTCTTTAAAGACTGCATCTTGAAAGAACCCCCAAAATAATAAGCTGCTCATTCTAAAGCTGAAAGACAAGGCATAGTATGTATCACTTATATAGGTGATTTATATGGTTCAGCTTTACTTTTTCAAGGCAATTGTTGAAATTAATACTATTGCTAGAGAATTGACCAGAATTCATACAATGCTACAGGGATATTAATCTCCCATCCAGAGAAAGCTCTTGTTCTCAAATACAGAAAGCCACGTGAACCTGGTATTTCCCTCTCTTACAGGCCAGATGTACCTTTTTCTGCTGTTTTAAGGTTGGCAGCCTGTACATACAAGTGACTCGTTCTTTTGTCCTTCTCTACACAGACTCAAGCCTCTGCTCCTCTCTCCCTTCCTGTACCTACTGTTCCTTACCTTGCAAGCAGAGTATTGCAGCTTTGCAGATGAAGAGGGATGTGCTTTTGCACCCACACAAGCAGGTTCCCTTCGGCAAAAGACCTGTAGCAGTTTGAGCAGTCAGCTGCCAATTTAGCTAAAATTGTGCTGGGTGGGAGTATCCATTGAATTACCCCTTTCGGTCAGATGAAGGGCTTCAGTGGTGTAGTGTACTTTAAAGAGCCGGGGATTAAATCAAAACAATTTCTGCTAGTTTGGAATACTAAATAGTAACTTGGTTCTGGTTTTGTTTCAGTGCTGGAAGCAGGAGATTTAGTTGCTTAGTCGCAGGCTTCTGTTGCCATGAGGTCAGCACAAGAAACCCAACAGAGCTGCATATTTAATTAAGTGGGATTCCAGACCTCCAGTTGTGACCTTCTGGAGCATCAGCAGGAGGCCACACAATCGCCATGACACTTTCTTTTGCTCCATCCTCCTTCAGCAATACTTTTTTTTTGAAGCATTGCTGTCCAAGAGCTGATACAGGGCTGCACATCACTTCAAGCCAGCAGCTTGGTCCAGTTGCCCAGCCCTAGAGCCTCCCCCCACCCTCCCTGCAGTAGGCTACACAACAATATATTCTGTGACTTGCTCCTTTTTAACAATTACTTGAGCCCACCCCTGAGAGCACGATAGGGTTATTTTTTCCCTCCCTTTCCTCAGTACTGCAGGTCTAACCTGTGTAGCACAACCACTCTCGTAGCCAAGCTGTTCAAATGCAAGCTGGTGACAGCATCACAGTATTAAAATAAAGTAATTTATTTTCAATTCAAACAACTTCGTAAGAACATTAACATTAAAACATTGAACATTAACCAGAAAAAGCAATAAAACACAACATGGACATAACATAAAACATGCTTGGTAACACTACAAAAAACAAACTTTATGAAAAATTATTCAGCAACAACAAATATTCACCTCCTTTGCAGTGGAAGCTCTGCTGCAAGACACACAGGGCAAGGATCAGAGATCACCTGCTAGAGAAGCAGCAAAGAAGGCGAGACTTGAACAACAAACAGACCTTAACAACCTCTGCTGCTCACAGCTGCAACATTGCACACTGGCCTCAATGAATGAGGTCCAAACTCCTCAATACCCAAAGCATCTTTGCCAAGGGTTAGCTATGAACAGACAGGCACACTTAAATAGGAAACTAGCCCCAGGCAGCAGGGTGCTGAGCCCCTCCAGTAATAAAACAGCAGTAGTGAGGAGAGGCAAGAAAAACAAATAGAACACGAACTCAAAACCCTGGAAATCCCATGGGTGAACACAAGAGTTGGGAGAAAAATATACTCAGACCTGAGACTCATACCCACTCTGGGTCCCCATGGGGTGCCAAGGTAACTGGCATTGATTCTGTATAGGAGAGCTCGAAAATGGTGTGACAGTGTCAGAGGTGCTCTGGAAGTTGAAGGTGTCATCTGCCTCCACGCTGACATAATCTATATTGTCAAAGTAGTTGTGATAGAAGTTCATTTGCTGGCTTAATAAACCCATGGTTTGCTGGGTATTGCAGCTTGTCCCAGCTTTTCCAAAGAGCCCTTCTTCCTCCACAGACGAGAAGGAGTACAGGTTCTGCCCATTCCCGTAAGTCTGAGTGTTGGACACAGCCTGAAAGTTCCTGCCCGAGCCCCCAGGGAAGACCTGGTGGAACGTGGGCGCCATATCCAGGTATGCAGCCTGATGAACCCCATTCTAGAAGACAAAGAAAGTCGTTCAGCTGTGCAGAACCACACCAGGGGCCCATGCTTTTGGATGGGTCCTCTCTTCTCCCCCAGCTCCCCCTTTCAAGCCGAACAATAGCGCCTTTTTCAGGCCCTTTGTCCTCCCAACAGACCAGTAATCGCAGAGATGACTGGTTAGTAATCTCCAGCTCCACGTGTCCAGGAACAACCACGCTGGGGGGGAAAACTTAAAAGCTTAAAAGAGATGCCATTGTAGGCCCTGTTAAGAGGAATTAAACTGGCTTGGTAATATCGAATACTGTGGCTTGTTAGAATTACCAGGTCGGACATGATGCATTTCTCCCTGCAGACTGGAGGAATTATGACTACCACTGATGGGGAAATTTACTCACCTGTGGTAAATACATCCCTTTATCCATCCACTGGCTCTCCTTTTGGCAACGCTTAAATTTCATCCGTTGATTCTGAAACCATGTCTTCACCTAAAAATGATGCAGAAACTACATAAGAAATTATTTTTTAAAGAGCTTAGCGCACATCCTTATTTCTGCTAAAATCCCCTTTCTGACTTCTAATACTGTCAATAATTTCAGCGGCTAACAGCGTGCTGCAGATGCAGGTGGCTATGAAATCACAGAGCTGAGACATGAAATCTAACATTTCTACTCCTCAGATCACCACTGGACCTTCCCTGACTTCAAAAACCCTACCTAAAACACCGGCCAAGGCAACTGCAGAAATCAGGTTGTACAGTACCATCTCACTGCTGTGCTATGGCCAGGGCTCAGGAGCAAATCGTTCCTTTAGTCAGACACAAGCAGCTGCTGGGGCAAGGACCCTCTCTAGGGAGGGACCATGGTGCCACTCCGACTTGGAAAGGCCACTTGCATAGCAGTGCAGGTACCTTTCTACATTCAGAGACAACACACGTCCCTGCAGAACAGTAAAACCTGACTCTGCACAGCCCTGCTTTGCTGCTCTGCAGGCCCTTTGAAACACCTGCCCGCAGTGGGTGGATAGTGCTGGAACCAAACATAAGACTGGATCATAGATTTTCACACCCTCTGGTCTCTAAGGTAAGAGGTAGCACAAGATAATCCAAAAAACTTCTCTCTGGGGTCCAAGAAAAACGAAAACTGTTATGAACAAAACAGCCTGGCTGGGACACTTGGCTCAAACTAAGTACTGACATTGAAATGTTAATTAGCTAATTGCTCCTGGGAATCACCTACCGCCCCACCCTCACTACCATTCTAGGACTGGGATGCAAAAGAGGGAGACCAGTGGAATCATGGAAGGGGGTTTTGGGGATGAAAACACCCCTAAATGGAAGGCTGGGCACAGTGGAGGGGGCTGGATGGGTGTGCTGGTTGGAGAAAAGGGAACCCCATCCCTAGTCTGTGTGTTTGACCTGGCACCATAACCTGCAGAGGACCAGACTGGACTGGGCTGCGGGAAGCAGGCACAAAGGAAAATCCAACACTTCCTGGTATTACCAGGAAGGAAGGAGAGGGATAGCTGCTGCTGGACTTCGGCAGCAGGCTCTGCACATCCCCCCAGCCTTCGGCTACCAGTGTGCCAGGAGGAAAGGAGAGAGGATGGTCTGCTGGAACTTCAGATACAGACTGCACACCTCTTCACCTCCAGCTACCAGTGTGCCACGGAGACTCCAGGGACAGACTCTGCACGCCTTCTCCCCCTTCGGCTACCAGGAAAGCTACAACAGCGGGGGCGAGCTCCTTGTCGAGCCGACTTTTTAATATAGAGCTGAATACTAATAAAATGCATAGACCCTGTTAATTTCAAAAACCACACACACACAGAAGAAGGAAAAAGAAAAAAGACCCCAGATCAGCTGCTGCTCAAAGCAAGATGCTCACCTGCTTGTAGGTGAGCTGAAGGGCAGCAGCCAGCTCCCGGATCTGCTGGGGGCTGAGGTACTTCTGGCTCTGGAAGCGCTGGTGTAAGGCTTTCAGCTGCTCCTGCGAGAACGCTGTGCGGCTCTTGCCCGTCTTCACCACACCCTTGCCTTGCGCCTTGACCTTCTGCAGAGAGGAGTGGGGAGACGGGGTCCCTGCTGCGGTGGGGCTGGTGGCGGAGTCGGGGGTGTGGTACTGGGTGAGTGTCCCAGAGCTGGAGGAAGCTGGGGAGTCAACTGAGGATAAGAGAACAGGGCTGAGCAAAATAAGACAGGGAAGACTCAAAAAACCCTTGAAAGCCCAGCTTCTCGGGAGAATTTACGATGGCGGGTGCCCTGGGGAGGAGGGCGCAGGTCGCCTCACGGCAGCACAGCCGATGCGCCCCAGTTCGCCCCTTTGCCCGTCCCGTCCGGGCAGAGCGGCCACGCCGGCGCCCGGCTCCGGCCCGCAGCGGCACCGGCATCGCCTCCCAGCCCCGGACACCGCTGCCGGCCGGGGCAGCCCCATCGCTCCGGCCGCCTTACCTGAGGGACTGGGCGTCTTGGCCGCGGGCAGCGGGAGCGCGTCCGGCGCCGGAGCCTCCTCGGTGGGCGCGCTGTCCATGCTTCCTGCGGAGAGCCAGTAATAGTCCCCATACCTGGCCGCGCCGGGGTACAGCACGTACGGCGGCGTGCCTAGGTGGCTGCTCATGGCCGGGCCGGGTCCCCCTGCCCCGAGCATGTCGCGATGTGACTGTCGAGACTGCCGGCAGCCCGCGGACAGAGACTCCTTTGGGGGCAGATGGGGGGGATGCTTTAAGTCCGCTCCAGCCTGGCCTTGGCTGGAGGGTATTGTCATGGCCATTGTCATGTTAAAAGTTGGTTGATTGGGGGAAGGGATTTTCGAGGGTATTCAGGGCCCGGGGGAGGGCTGGGACACCGGGCTGCGCTTGCCAACTTGGCCGGTAGAAGCCACGGTGAGGATGAGCACATCACTCCCTGCTGAGGCGTGGGAAGGAGGTCCTTGCTCGCCCCTCGGGGCAGCAGGTCTGAGCAGGGTCGCCCGGTGAGCTGGACAGAGCTTGGCGGACATCCCCCACATTTCACAGGTCCCCACCCAAACAGAAAGAATGGCCCCGGAGCCCGCCGCGGGACATGAGGAGACTTTGTGCGTCTGCATTGCAGATCGCAACCATCATTGCTAAGAGATAAGCCCTTCACCTCCCCGCGACTGAATCCGGACGGGGGCAGGGGGGATGGCCCTACAGAGCCTGTCTGTGTGGCGGAGAAGAGGGCTCAAAGACAGCCAGGCTGCTTCTCCCAGCGGCTCGCCCGAGGCTGAGCCAGGCAGTCCTGTTCTGCGCATTTTCCAAGCTTCTTTACCTCGCCATTTAAGGCTTTCTAAAAAGTGATATATTAAAAAAAAAAAGTAACACATCAGGTAGGGGTGGGACTCACCGGGGCAAATTCAAAAGGAGACAAGAGCACTGCAGCTGTAAAAGAGCTGTACAGATCTTAAGGATTTGAAGTTAGGGCCTTCTCGGGGAGAATAAACTATTTCCCTTACCACCTCCTCCCCCAGCTACGATTTCTTACTTTAAGGAAATTAAAAACTTATCGGCAGGATCTCACACTCGAGAGTTACAAAACCTGGAAAACCACCTGGAAAAAGTACAAACGAGGGCAACGTGACGCACCAAGCAAACTCCCCAGCTCCACCAGTGCAAGGAAACAGAACACAGGCAGGGGTGTAGCTACTAACCTGCTGCACTGCTAAACGTCCTTAGGACCTGACAGCGAAAGGCCTCCCTTGATTTCTATTTATCTCCGCCTCCCATCTTGAGTCCTAATGAGAAATGAGCCCCAGCTGATCCCCTGAGCCAGCAAGGAAGGGTCCTTGCCGGGCTTACTATAGATCACCTCCTAATTAATGATTCAGTTTCTCACAATTCGTACCAGATCCAGCCAGGACTATTAGGATGTGTGGGAAAGAGGTTATAATCTCTTACAATGAAAATACCGGGACGTGAGGGATGAAAAGACCGAGCTAGAGCCAGAGCCTGGTTCTGGCCACAAAGCAAGCAGAGGCAGCAGCCGGGCTGTGGGTTTTGGCCAGGTCACTCGCTCGGTGCTCGCAGAGCAGATGCACGGAGGGAAAGGGATTTTCCCTGGGAGGCGAAGCTGTCCTGCTGCCCCTGGCGGGGCAGAGAGCCGCCGGTCCCCATGTCCCCTGGCAGGGCTGCCCCGGGACACGCGTGATCCCCGCGGGGGCTCTCCGAGTTCCCCAAAACCAGCCCCTTGCAAAGACGGAGAAACCCGCGGGGTTTCTGCAAGGCTCCGGAGGCTGCGGGAGCCCCCGAGTCGTCCGAGGACACACGGCTGGGGAGGATGGACCGCAGCAGAGGGATTAGAGTTCTACAGACGGAGTAACATCGCCTCTGCCAGCAAATCCTCCCTCGGAGAGCTCTGTGTGTGTGTGTTTGGAAACGCAGCAGGACCGCTCACAGTCTGCAATTTTCATACATAGATTGTTTTTTTTGCGTGTATATCAGCTCCTGTCCCAGTGTCAGACCAGCTTTGTAGTGAGCATGCAGCTGATTTAGGTCCCCCCACCATTTTTTTTTTTTGTCTTTGTTAATATTTTTGTCTTCTTATCCCATTTGTCCTCCATTCCCTTTGTTTTATGCTTTAACCACTAAATCTCTTTTTCACATATCCCCTTCCAGTGTGGATAATTTGCTCCCTCACCCCAACAATACCTCTAATCAGCTTACCAAACACATGTTTTTTAATGTAACTGTGAGAGAAATAAGACTTGTGTAAGTGTATAAAATCATACCATCTAAAGTCAGAATTTATTTAGGAAAAGAAATCCAGTTATTTTCTCCCAAATAAAGGATACACATGGAAACATATTGCAAAGGTAAATCTAGAAGTCATACAGACACAGGGAATGCTATGGAAAACATGATGTGGACATTTGGGAAGCTCATGGGGTGATCAGGTATGGAACATCTGCCTGTGGCACCATCAGCCTTTAGACTGGATATACTGCCCATGAATCTCTAGGGTATTCTTTTAAAAATGTTGGGACATTTTTTTAAATTTAAAAAAAATTTAAATATCTAGAGATTATGTGCTTTTAAAAGGTGTTGGGAATGACTCAAAGTGCAGATGCAAGTATCCACTTGTGTTTCTTTTGGAACTGTTTTCAGCTGAAACAGCAACACAGGTCAGATCTAGTCTAATCCTGTTTTTCCCAACAGGGCCAAATAGCAGGAACAATTAGGGTTTTGACCCTAGATTGTGTTCCCCTCTCCCTTCATTGTGTGGCTACCCCCTTATTTTTCAGTTCTTAGCTCATTATGCACTCATTATGTACTGTGGAGCATTAGTCAGGTGAGTAATAAGTTGGCATATTCTTGACACCAATACCCTCACCCTTGAAATTGTTTGTAAAGACATCAGCACACATCTTTCCTATCAAGTGTATGGGACTGAGTGCAGCTACTCACTGGGCTGTAGCATGCTCTAACCAACCCTTTCTGTAGTGCTGCAGCAGCAGCGACAGAAGCTCAGGTGCAAACTCAGTCTTGGCCTCTGTCTAAGCACAGTGAGATGGGACTGTGGCTGGAATGTGATTCAGCCAGGAAGTTCCTCCTACAAGGCTGTCCCATTATTCTCGGTTGGGTCCCTACCTTCAGAGGGCTGGAGCTCAAGCTGGCTCTGAAGTGATGCAAAAGCACCAGTTTGCATAGATGGAGGCTGGGGAAGCACCAGCTGGCTACTGCTGTAAATCCAGCTCTGGAGCTCACACCACTGCCTCAGAAATGCTGGGGTTTTCCCGCCTCAGAGCATTGCTAAACTAATTTTGATCAACAGGATAATGCTATAGGGGTAGAGATTGTCTCAGATTTTACATAGATTCAGTGCTCTCCTGCCCTCCACAGCTGTAATGTGGGTCACCAGCATTGTGGTGAATGTTGTGAGGTGCCAGTGCATGTTGCTGTGCCATTCTGCTCATGTTGGAGGTGCTCAGCAGGGCAGCATGGTGCTGGCTTGGTATTACTGAACAGGGAACCATGGCCAGAGCCCCACTGCCTGTCAGAGATTTTCCTGGGAGCCACTGTCCTCTGACAGCAATGTGTGTGCTTGGGGAAGGCAACTAGAAATCCTTGCCTTGTGTTCTGTTGAGCTTGTCTGAGCTATCATCCCAAGCAGGCACCTTTAATTTTATTATTTTATTTTTGTGAAATTTTATTATTTTATTTTATGTTGTAAGCAAACGCTCCCCAAGGTAGGTGTATGAAAACACTCCTGCCCTGCAGACCTCAGTACTTGCCCGGCCCTTGGCTCTGGACAGCCTGTCCCCTGCAGCATGGTCATAGCCTGCAGTCTGGACCCAAGATGACAGACTGTAGAAGAAAGGGAATCAAGAAAGAATAACAAAAATTAGGCCCTCATTCATATTAAAATACAGTTTTTCTTTCTCTTGACTCTTTAGGGGAGCAGGTAGAGAAAAGAACAAATCTTCTTCTCCCCCTGGCAGCCCAGTCTCTGAATGCCCTGAGAATTACTGGGTGATGTGGCCCTTTGTCAGCAGTGCAGGAGCAGACTGGCACAAAGCCAAGTGCCAAGTGCCTCCCTGAAAAGGCGAGAAAGTTGCCTGTCAAAAAGCAGGTGGGAAGTAGGCTAGTGAGAGCATGAATTTCTAGGTCTGTTCTTTCAGTATAGTCAGTTCTTTCTCAGTCCTTCGTCCATTCTTGCCACGCACTTGATGTCAGAGTGCTGTAGCTGTAAGCACTCATCTCAAGAAGCATCCCCTACCAGTGCCCATCAGCTGGAATATGGAGCAGTCTTGCAAGCAGCTTGGAGCCAGGGTTATGTGAAAGTCCTGGGGAACGTGGAGAGATGAGCATATCAGGCAAAAACCTTCCAAGCATCCTCCCTGCTGGAATCCTCCCCCCTCCCCACTATCCCTGGTGTGGTTGTTCCTACAGGCTCAGTTAGTAGTCCTCTTACTAAAAGCAAAGAGAACAGACAGAGCTGTCCTCAAATGCCTTCTGCCGTTTCCAGCTTAAGGGAGGAATGACAAATCCAGTATTTCCCACTGTACCGAGGCCCTGTGTGTGGCATGAGCCACCTCCCCCACTCTCCTCGAAAGGCTGCTCTATATCAAGCACTTTGTCTTTTGTTCTCCAAACGCACACCACTCGTGAACTTTGAAATTACACAGAAGGGTTTTTTCCCCCTCCCCTGAGGCATCTTTGTCTTCCTCATTCTCAAAGGGATAGCTTCCTATAAAATCCAGTGCTGCCAGAGCCCTCAGTTCAAGCTGAGTCTCGAGTTCTCTCAAGTTCACCACGTATTATGGCACCTGCTTTCTCCCACATTTCTCATCTGAGGATGATCCCGTGTATGTCCTCATGGTAAATTAATATCAGGACAAAGCTAATGAGGATTATGTGCCAAGTGGGTGGCTGTAATCACACTCGTGCAGGCCATAAGTGGGCACACAGTTTGAAAGTGCTTCTAACACATCCCACAGCCAAATTCTTCCAAGTTAGCACGTACTTCTTAGGCAGCTCGCTGTGCCAAATCTGTGCTTGCTGGGTTTTTGTAAGTCCCAGTAAGTCCCCAAAGGAGCAGATCACCTGTGATGCAAGTGTCTAATTACAGTGAATGCTACTATTAGGAAAAATGGTGCTTAGTTTTCTAATCTGTCAGGATTTGAGATAGGGATTCCCCCCCACCCCCCACCATTGCCTGGCCCTTGCCCCCACCTATGCAGCCTCTGCTTTTCTCCAAGAGGGCTCTTGCACATGCATTCAGGAGCGATTAGCAAGTGTTAGAGCCTGAGGCTCCGTGGCT